TCCGAGACGAGCCGACTTTTCGTATATTACATAATGTATAGAGACCATAATAGGTATTTGATAAAATGTAGGTACCCAGAATGCCAATAAATCGAAGAAATATTAGGTGTATTCATTATATTTTGTAGGTAGGGACCTCGTACCTATATAGGTCTTATAACAGTATTGTTGCATATTGGGGACGCTGTGAAAGGACCGTGTATGCACTATATGTGCGTATCTATATATAAATATTTTATGTACCTTACCTTTTATTATATATTTTAGTGTGCCCAAATCGGCTAGTTCTTCAATAGGTATTATTTCAGTTTCTGATCGGATTTTGTTCGTGTCTGTATAAAATAAAAATGATTCAATTTTCAGCCTTGAGTGTGATTTCTGGCTGAGAACTGGTCTAGTAAGGAAGTCAAACGTAAAATATGTCAAGAAATTTTCAAAATAAATCGGGAGAAACTCTAAAAAAAAATATTACGCTACACCGACTTTTTAACAAATGTTTTTGGTTGTAATTCAAAAGAAATAGCCATACTTTTAAATATCTAGATATATTTAACTTTAGTATCTATGTAACGAATTCGTACTTACCTATACTTAAATGTAACTTGCAATTGTCACCAAAATCGTCTGAACAAGATATAATTTTTAAAATGTTTAAATATTGATGACTCGAGTTTTTTTTCGTCTAACCCAACACATATGTTTATGTATATATATTATATATATATATAGGTATGTTATATACAAATTAATATACGATTTCAACAATTCAAACATGTATACTAGTACTAACTTGCTAGTTTTTGGGTAGATATGTATCATATTAACAATAACAATAAAATACGTATACATATATAGATGCGAATATGCGATTACTCTCGCGGCTGTATGCGACAGCGAGTACCAAAGACTGGCGACTGCGCAACAACCCCTTTATACCGTTTTCGTCACCACCGATTTTCTTTACATTTTATACGGTGACAATGATAATATTGTTGCACTGAGAATATCGGTGGGTTTATGTGCCGGGTACAAAGAAGCCTCGGTGAACGATATGTCTTTATTGAAACGCTTACGAGGCACTATTATAATATATTATTATATTATTAATAATAGCCAATAGCCGGTACGTTGATATAGAAAATTGACCGCGTGTTTTATTACGCGTAAAAGGCGATTCGCGCTGGGGTTACTTTTGTACTATATAATATATATAACTACCTGTCTACCTATATATTTTTCACGAAACATTTTATTATCGCTGGTATTATACACGTGTACTTATATTATATTATATTATATTACCCGCTGCTGCAGAGGTCTTTGACGATTTTTGACGGCGCACGCGGTCGTTCCGTATAATATTATATATTATCATATTATTCTAACAATCGGCGGTATCAAATCGTCATTACTATATCGTATATATATTACGCGCGATTATACATATTTTACGCCAATATAGGATGTAAGACCGTTGCAACTGATGCAGCTGCAGGTGTAAAGTTTGGAGTAATTTCATATAATTGCATTATATATATTATATACAACTATACAATAGGTACCTAGCAGCCTTCAATTTTAAATGCAGCGTGATTTCATCTTATACGTGATGCCTTTAAAGTACGACATTAATTAATGCTCGATATTCGATGTACAATATAGTATAAATAAATAATAATACAAATTTATTAAGAGACAAAATCAAAATATTTCAATTTTATTGTCTTAACGATGGTAGTCGGTAGAAGATTACTATAATATAGGGATTATGGGAATTGGAATACCTTATTCCCCCATTTAATAATTTTATTTTTTTATTGCAGTTGTTGACATCCTAATTTTAGTTTTGGTACTTAAATAAATGTTGTCAAAAAACCATTTTAGTATATAGTTTTAAGATTTGCATTAAAGTACTTAAACAATTTTAATATCGGAAAATATTTCTATTTCAATTAAGATGTTGGGTTTGAATTACATAATTTAAAATAAACACATTCACGCCATTCGCCTATATTAATATTACTATTATTATTCTCATGAAGTGAATTTTTGGATAAAAATAACATCACCAAATTGTATTTTGGACATTTTTAAAATGCTATATGCTATATAGGATAATAAGATTTACATTTAATTTCTCACCGTGCTTTGTAAATCTTACCTTTTAAGTTTTAGGAAAACTAAATTACAACTCTTGAGAAATGAGAATAGTGACCGAATTGACCTAGAAACATCCCTATCGAAATTATAGGGTCCAAAACGCACTTAGAATTTTACAATGATCGTAACTATATCGTGGGAATCTGTTGGTCATATTTCTATACGATTTCGGATTTATTTAAAATCGTAATACATATATCAATCAATAATTTTGAAATAAATGTATTTCAAAATAATTATACCCGAATAATCTGAGTATATTTATATGGCTATGCGCCTATACATATTATATGATATATATATATATATACTGGTACTGTCACAAACTCACACTGAAACAACTTAATGTATATAAAAGTGTGTACCTATATATTATTATACTATGTATCAACTTTTTAACAATAAACAAACATTAGTAATCTAAATAATAAATTTGAAATATTTATATGATTATTAATATTTTTTAATATTTTTATTTATTTACTAACAAAAAACAAAAGTTTTATATTATATAGTTATACACACAAAAATTATATACAGTTGGTCTACTCCCTAATAAAGCCATACCATTATATATTATATATTTATATAGTCACGATATGGTACGATACAAAAACAAAGACAATTGTATTATTTTTTTTCCAATTTAGTAATATATATTATTTATACAATTATATTATCTACCTATACAGAATTGTCGAAAACATAAAACGTACAAATATAGTACATGAATGTCAAAACTATAGGAAAAAAAATTAACGAGAACACAAATACATTTTCCCAGGAACCCCAGTCGGAGAAGGCTGTTAAATAAAAAAATTAAATTGACCAGTTATTACACACAAAAACGAACGTCTGACGCCAATAAAATGATCAGAGAACTTTATCTCTGCCGCTTGTAACCTGACATTAAAAATAAAAAGGAAAAAAAAACATTCGAAAATAACAGTAATAAATGTGTGGTAAAGGGAAAAGATATCAATTTTGATTCCCATATCGACGACCTATCTATATATTTTTTTATTATTATTATTATTTTTTTTTTATAGTTGTTGTTCTTACAACAAGTAGGTATGCCATTACATTATATATACGTACGTACACGATGTCTGTTGCATTATCCACGGCATTTAAATATCTCCAAGTCGCGATAATATTTTAACTATACACACGTTTACATATTATATCCTATTCGGACGGATGTCCCGCGGGCAGAGTTTTTCGTCCTTTTACTTAGATATGATATTATACGCGTACCTCTATATCTATCCATCCGCGGGTATTTTTTAAAATGTTTTTTTCCATATATATAACAATAATCACAGGTAATGGTAATGTTAATTCGGGAAATTGAAGGTGGAACCGATTCAAATAACAGAAAAATCACTGTTATTACCATTTGCTGCGATAGCTGATTCCTCGCGCGCGGTCTCACCCAGGCCGGCCGCTGTGAAGGAGGTGCGACTCCGGTGCGTCGCGCGCGTATGTATTATATTATATAGATACGCCTATCTATATATTATAATAATATTATATATTATGTTAGTCGTTTAACCATATACTTGCACAGCACTGCGTCCATCGCATTAAAATAATATTTATAAACACATAGGTTGGGTGTGTACCTCGTTGAGCCGTGTATTTTTTCGGAGACGTAAAAACCAAAAATTACAATAATTATACAAACGCCGCAGCACATATAACATTATATTATATTATACGCGAGCTGTATATTATAATAATATCGTCTTAGGTTTAATGATGGTCAACATCTCAACCGATATAATATAATATATATGTGTGTGTACATTATAAACTATCACTATAGGGGTGCAGTATGGTGGGGAAATTTCACGAATAGCGCATTATTATAATGTATATAATATACTCACAATATAAACGTCGGCAGACAAATTACATAGGTCGTACCTATACTACACGGGGTTAACGCCGTTTCATAGTCATTTGACCGATTACATCGCTCTGGTCTCCGAGCGATGTCGAACGACTTAGTATAATATATATTATTATTATTGTTATTATTGTTATTATTATATATATATATATGCATGTGGATCGAATAAATAATATATTATACGAATAAAATAAAATATACATCGTCGGGGCGGCTAACGAATATCTCAGCTAGCACTTCATAAGACCGACTGCCGGCGCATAGGTGAGTGTGCGGGGAGGGGAGAAGTTGTTATAGATATAGGTATGTGTGTGTGTGTGGTAGCAGGGCCGGATTAAGGTTTTTGCCGCCCATAGGCTGAAATAAATTTACCGTCTAATTTTCATAGGTATTGATATTTTACTTCTGTAAGTGATACGTAAAAACTCTCCACACCCCATATAAAAAATGATCATTAATAAAATAAAAACATAAAATCAATACTATTATTATTTATTAATGAATGAAAACTCTTTAAGCATATTACAAAAAAAAATACGAACAAATAATTATTTTTCATATTCTTCAGATTATAGTCTTACGTCTTGATTTTTTTTTCGCAAAGTCTTCTATGATGTCGTCATATGATAACTGATTAGTTAATTCATGTTCAATACTTAGTATAGCAAATGCATTTAATCGATCCTGTGACATCGTTGATCGGAGATAATTTTTTATTCTTTTCAAGCAAGAAAAGAACGCTCAGCTGAACAGTTAGTCACCACAGTAGATGTATATATTCTGAGTGCTATTTCGATGTTGGGATATATTGAAATTAAGTTTTTTTCATGTAAAATTTGAAGAAGTTTGGGAACATTGTTTTGCTTATCGTCAGCCAGTTGTATTATGTGTGCTTTTAAATGTAAACATTCATTGATTAATTCATTTAAATCCATATCATCATAGTATATTTCATTAAGTTGTGTAGCTCCTTTAACAATATCATCATGTGATAGACGTTCGAGCATGACAATAAAAGCAAATGGAAAAAAAAATTTTGATACGCAGCTCTTCTCTTGTTAAGTTCATTCAATAAATGATCTAAAATTACTAAAAAGGTATCAATTTTAAATTTTTCTCTTCCAGAAGTAATTAAATCATTATGTCGAGTTTCATCATAAAAAATTGATTTAATTTTTTTACGAGTTTTTAAATCTTTATATTCTTTTGTAACAGATTTTTCAATTTCTTTTTTTTCAAATTCATCAAAATTTTCACGAGTATTTGTAATAAGTTGAATTAAAGAATCGTAAAGCTCAACCACGAGACCACAATCTATTTCAACTTTTTGTAACTTCTCACTAACTACATTTAATCTATTCAATAGGAAACCCCATAATATACACATAAAGCAAGTCTCTAATGATTGGAGTTTATTTAATAGTCCTTGTGATTCGTTTCGAGTCATATTATTTTCTGTAGTAGCATTCATTATATCTATATATCTATTATATCATTCATTATTATTATTTCTGTTACACCCTGCATACCATTTTAGAACCTAAAAATATATTTTCTTATACTTTATAATTAATAATATTATTTCATATATTATATTATTGCATGTTTTTATAATTTATATTTAAAATTAATATCTCAACGTAGTTTTTGGGTCACACCAAAAAAAAATTTGCCGCCCTAGGCTTCAGCCTACACAGCCTAAGCGGTAATACGGTCCTGTGTGGTAGTGACCCCATTCAAATTCCATATACACATATTATATTATCCATCTCAATAGACTAAAAATGATAAGTAATAATTAGAGCTCGGATGTTTATGACTTGGCATATTTTTTTCGCGCAGCCAGAATTACACCGGGTGAGATTTTTTTGCATATTTTTGCATATTTGACATTTTTGAGCATATAAATGCATATATTGATAATTTATAGATTTCATGGCATATTTATCTCACACTCACATATTTATTAATTATTTTTTTTTTTTTTTTTTTTTTTTTTATTGGATAACCCGCGGCAACATAGGCCATTGGGTGTTGGGAGGGAACTGTAGGTTTTTAGATTGGGTAGGTTGGTACACGTGTGTGTTAGTGGTGGCAGAATTTTTATTGGGGCACCCGTAGGTTTCTGCCATGCCCCGGGTTGGGGGATGGCGGCACTTGTACTCCGGACACCGTGACTTGCCCGGAGAAAAATGCCGCCCAGTGGTCGAGAGGCGAACCCGCGACTGCCAGCGCCGCAGTCGACGCGTTAGACCGCTCGGCCACCTCGTCCCCCATTAATTATTTTATATCACTATGTAAACACGAATCTCGTAATCGCCTGTCGACGACCATTATCTTATCGCATATCGTTAATAGATTAAAATTATAGCCTAGGTATAGGTAAGTATATTGTATAACAGTATAGATTGACTGTTTGGGTGGGTTTTATCTACATTTTCGACGAGTTTATATTTTGTTGACATTAAATATTTTCAGTTTGCTGCAGTCCTCATATGTTGTGTAGTTGTGTTTATTCAACTATTCAACTTTTCTGAATACGTTTTTTTTTTAAATTAATTTTTTACAAAGAAATGTTCGTCAAGTTTAAGTAGTTTTGTGAAAGAATTTGAGGAACATGTATTTAGTTCCGATGGTAAAATATTATTTTTCAAATTGTGTGAAGTTAAAGTATCTGCAAGTAAACGATTTTTAGTAACACAACATTTGAAAACTGCAAAGCATGAGCATGCAATAAATCTCCGAAAAAGACGCGAACAAAGTACAGTTCAACCGTTATTTACACAAAATACAAACAAGTAAAGTGATTTTAATTCCGATCTTGCTGAAGCATTACTATCAGCTAATATTCCACTGTACAAGGTAAATAATTTTAAATTCAAAGAGTTTTTAGAGAATTATACTTCTAAAAATATCCCCGACGAATCGACCTTAAGGAAAAATTATGTAGATGATATTTATAAAAAAACCTTAACTAAAATACAGGACGAGGTATTTAATCTTAAAATTTGGGTATCAATCGATGAGACCACGGATGTAAATGGCCGCTATGTAGCCAATGTTATTGTGGGCGTACTTGATTCTGAAATGCCTGGTGAAGTCATGCTTGTTAATTGTGAACATTTAGAAAAAAAAATAGTACAACAATAGCTTAACTCTTTGATAGATCTATGAATTTAATTTGGCCTCAAGGAGTAGAACACAATAATGTCACAGTTAGTGACGCCGCACCATACATGGTAAAGGCCGGATTAGTGATTCAAACATTGAATCATTAAAAAAAAATGCTTCATGCAACTTGTCTCGCTCACGCTTTACATCGTGTAGCTGAGCAAATCCGCAGTGATTTTCCATTGGTTGACAAACTTATTTCTTCTGTCAAAAAAGTCTTTCTTAAATGTCCAGCAAGAATAAACATATTAAACATATTTGAAGACGAAGCACCAGAACTAAGTTTGCCCCCAGAACCAGTGATTACACGTTGGAGGACGTGGTCGAATGCGGCTATTTATTACTGTGACTGATATAAAACAATTGAAAAAATTTTAGAAAAATTTGATCCCGATGATGCTTTGTCTATAAAAACAGCTCAAGAAATTATGGGTGAACGTAGAGTTGAAGCCAATTTAGCTTTTATTAAATCAAATGTTTCATTTTTATCTTCGGCTCTAATACCTCTCGAAGAAAAGGGGAAATCTGTATCAAGTTCAGTTGCCATTATAAATGTCGTTTCAGAAAAATTATCAATTGCAACTTCATCTCCTAAAGGTAAATCAATATACACAACATTTCAAAAAGTTTTGGACAAAAATTCTGGGTATAAAGTATTATCCAAAATTTCTAAAATAATAGATGGCAAAACAGATTCGTTTGATGGACTTCCTGAAGCTATAGAAACTATCGACATAGTTAACATTAAGTACGCACCGGCCAACTTTGTAGACGTAGAGCGGTCATTTTCAGCTTACAAAAACATACCTACTGTCAGATACATCCGAAAAATGTTATGTGCGGAATATTCAGCTATACGAGAACCTATATGCGAATGCGATAATGTCAATGTATGTACTTTGAAATTTGCAGAAAAAGTACTTAATTCTTCCGCCATTATATGCTCGACTATTTTTTTTTTACATCTTCCTAATTGCTGTTATTATGTTAACATTTATAATTTGAATCTACTGCATGTTTAGCTATGTAGGTACCTATAAGCTATACCTATACCTACTATATACATTATTTCATATTTGTATAGATATAATATCATTGAGTATATATTGTTATATATAATATATAGGTATAGGTAAATTGTAAATATATATAAATGGTGACATATGGTGTTAATGAAAAAAACAATTTTGTTCGTGTTTAATAGTTATTTGAAAAAATATTTACCTATATCACCATTATTAGATATACCTATAATCTATATGAATATATACCTATTATACATATTATAATATTTATTTTTAATTATTGTAATATTATATTAATAGAATTTTTCCATTCTACAAATTTCTCATAGGTACCTAGATAAAATAAAACATATGTATAATATATTAGCATTGATTTAACATAGACACATAGTATAAGTATAATAAATTATATTAGCTATTAGACATCAGCAAGTTAATAATCACTAATTAATCAATATAGCCAGTAGGTAGTAGCCACTCAGTATGTATATATTATACATTATATACCTAGGTAAAGTTATTACAATATTGTAAATAATATAGGTACCTACTCAATAGTCAATGGTACCTATAGTACAGCCGTATAGGTATAATAACTAATAAGTATATTCAATATTGAAGGCTATATTTGTGAAATATTATTACTCTATGAAAGTATAAACTATATTACATTAATATATTGACTATCATTATTATATCGTGCCTAATACCTATATATTAGTTCACAGACATGTATTACTCCTAAAAGGGGTGAATGTAGGTGTCCATGAGTGTTCCCCATATCCAAAATAGAATATAAAATAGTCAGTATAATTCTTACTGATACGTAATAATTACAAAATATTTAAAATTGATTGGATGGTTATTTTTATCCTGCTAATTGATTTGGTGATTAATGATTAATGGTATTATAATACATGCTTAAAATATTATAGGCGGTATTCGGAACACGGCAGAAACGGTTAAGTATAGGGTATTCAGGTAGTTAATAAATGTAGGTAGTTCAATCTTAAACGTTATAAAAATAATTTTAATTTATTTTTAGTGTCTAAAACCTGACTTAATTATAGTATAGACCACGGTTTAAGATATACCTTATAGTATATATTCTATTATAGTATGGTAAAGACATTGATATAAGTATATTGATATCATTATATAGGGACCTAATGGCTAATCATTATACAGAGAGACTAAAATTCTTTAAATTGTCAAATTAAGACATATGGCGATTGGCGACATAACTTTATAATACCTAACTATTAAGAGCACGGTAACCTAGATATCCGTAATTACGAGACGAGAGTGTGTACACAATTATACTATATGTTGAATGTTGATAGGTACTAGCCGTAGATCACATATCCATAATATTATTCATAGTTTATTATTATAACATTTTATTTTTCACGAGTTAAAATAAATGCATTTTGTTTCATTCGACAAGCGCGTAAGATATGTTTTTCAGTTATTTGGACTACAAATACTACAATAATAATAATTAATAAATAACCTCCTAATAAAAATGCTATAAATCATTCTGCACGATGTGTTCGAAATTGTTTTGGGCCTAATCATATTCGAAACTTAAGGGGTTTCCACCCGGTGATTTCCTGTCTTTGTCTAACACAAGCGCAACATAGTATTTTAGACGTGTTTTTTGCCAAACATACCATTTGATCTAATGAAGCGATAAGAATTCTGAAAACAGATTTGAATTCGTCGTTAAGTCTACTTGAAATCGACATTCCCACATTTTTGATAATATCTTCCTAATTCCAGAAAACGTCATATTAAAAAAGAGTATTTAAACATTTTTGTATTTCAATTTTTGGAGGAACTAAAATCAAAAAATCAAAATTTTGGGAAAGTCAATTGCAAGAAGACTTAATGACAAATTCAAATCTGTTTTTAGAATTTTAATCGCTTCACTAGATCGATTGGTATGTTTGGCAAAGAATCCGTCTAAAATAGTAAAATCCTATGCCTCGCGTGTGTTAGACAAAAACAGAAAATCACGGTATGGAATCCCCTTAACTAATTTGAAAACATTAACTACCTACCATGTTCAATAGTCAGTGCACACGTTCTCAGTCAAACACTAAACTCTTACGTCCAAATAACCGAGTATAATAATTACAATATTATTTAAGCAGAAAACGCACCAGGGCTCATGGCCCTGCCTGCAGAAGTGAGTATTGCCCCAAATTTGATATACACACGTGGTCTGAAAATGGTACTAGTTCAGAACACATTTAAAGATTAATAAATAACA